ATAATGAGGAGGACACTAAATTGGTAAAAGCCATTTCCATTTTTTGAGCAGATATTCTAGTTTTTCTTAAACATTTTCCCAGTTCTTGTCTAGTATTTATTCTTCACTCCCAAGTACTTTATCCCTCCTTTTTTCCAAGTTAAACCTTCTGGTAAAACTAGACTTTCTTCCAACTTTTTCCCAACCAGAACAGCTTCACTTTTTTTTCAAATTTACTTAAGCAGAGGATATTTTATTTACCACGTAGACGTAGACAACGCCTAAAATAACATACCCCAAATAAATCAGTAATATCTCCTCAACCATTAGGCCTAGATGCATAATTCTGGTCTCCTTTGAAAGGTCAGAAGCAAAGGAATATAAATCCATTGTATATTAACATATTTATTTTACTATTACAGACTACATGGAGATGCAATAGAGACGAAAACTGATATTTTCATCCTCGCGTGGTAAAAAACCCTATATTTTAATGCAATAAACCATCAAAACCATCATAAGATAGATTATAATGCACCTGAATATCTTCTAATACACCTGGAATACAACTATAACTGTAAATTTGATGAAAAGACACTGATATACAACAGTTATTACACAATCTTTCAAAAATATACCAGGCGTATGTCCATGTTTTGGCCATATTTACTGTTTATATGTTCACTTTTATTGGGAGTTATCTTCAAAACATTATTTCTCTCCATACAACCACATTCCAAGTAACATAAAGCTTCCAAAACATTGAAATATTGATAAAAGCAGTCAACATATATGACCAAAAGCACTCCCATGCTTTACAGGCGATAGCTTGAGAACAGAACATCCTACAGGGCTGCAAGTGCGCTCTTTCTTTTTGTCTCTACGGGTCACCAGCAGAGGCCGATAAAGACCACCTCCACCAAGGCAAACTCTCAAAGACTCTTCTTCTCTACTTCAATATGACAACAGAATCGAAACTTACCGACGAAGCCAACCTCACCAAGATGGCTGCCCATACAGTTCATTCAGGGACAATTCTTCATTCAACACTGCATTGGTCTCGGCATCCACCTGAGGTAGTCCATCAAAGAAAGGTCCAGCCAACTCTAAATCCTCCACATATTCCTCTTGAAAGAGCTCTTTGTAGAAGACTGTGGCATATCTACGAATTTCAGGGGTTTCCATAATTATGGAACCATTTTCTGACCGTACAGAGTGAATGATCTTTCTCAGCCCGTTCTTTCGCTCCAAACTAAAGAAGAACTGTGAGGGAGCATCCATTAAAATGCCAATAGGCACTGTTTACCTTAACATTTGAATATGAAAGTAGCACTGAACAAGGCAATGATCAGACAAACCAACAGGTACTATACAACATGTTTTAAAGGAGACCTATTATGCTTTACCACATTTTATGACTTATCTACAGTGTTATAATGTTGGATGCTCATGTTAAACATGGCCAAAGTATTAAATAATGAGGTTAAAGCATTTATAAGAAATCACTGTGAGCAAAAACCTCAGGTTTCCTCCTGTTGAACGCTCTGTTTTGAACTGCTTTTTTCTACCAATGGCTCCTTTCTATGTAATATGGAGCCAGATGGAGCCGGCATGGCAACAACAACAGCCTGCTAACATGCTTCGGGTCTTGTCCAATCAGAAGACAGTGGGCTTTGAGAGGAGGGGCCTTAAAGAGACAGGAGCATCTACAGCTTGTTCAGACAGAGGCTGAAATGAAGCCCTACATGAAGAATCAGTATAAGAAAAAAATTTTTTTTTCTGAACTTTTAATCATGCAAAGCTGCCATACAGGAGTCACAGAACTACAATATAGGACTGGAAAAGCAGTATAATAGGTCTCCTTTTTAAAAAAAACACATGATGCTTTAAAAATGTCTATGAAGATTCTCAGTCATCCAGGTCATAGTTATCCAACGAAGGTTAAAGTCAAGGGCAACTGGACTTGGTTGAAGATCTTCCCTTGACTTTAACCTTCGTTGGATGCTTAAAACAATAAAAGCGATCAAGTCTGGCCAATGATAACAAATTATCCTTGCAGTGACTCCAAGTGTACCGCCTGTCATTCCTGTTAAAACATCTACAAACATCTTTTAACTCGTAGGTCTCAAGTAGTCTGGCAGATGAGGCAGGATGAGGCTCAAAGTGATATCTGTCTAATTTGGCATTTTCGGTGCATTTAAAATCACCTCCCAGAAACAAGAAATCATCAGTACAATTTTGAATAGCATCACACAAAACATTTTTAAAAATCATTCTATCGTTGCACAAAACTGGAGCATAAACACTTAAAAAAATCAATTTCATATTTTCATAATGTACTTTAACTTTTAGAATATGGCCACACATTATTTCATCTACCTCAACATAACTAGGATTAAAGCCCTTTGCCAACAGGACACCCACTCCGCCACTATTAGATCATTTATGGCTCAGGATAACTTTTCCAGCCCACTCTTTCTTCCAGTTCCTTTCATTCCCGGGATCACTGTGAGTTTCTTGTTCAAGAAACACATCTAGATTTTTTAGTCCCATCAATTTAAAAATAGAAGCTCATTTTACATCGCTTCTTGCTCCATTGATATTTAGAGATCCTATTTTTAATTTATCCATATGATAGAGAGTGTCCACTACAACAAAAACACATATTAGTATGTGTAGAAGCATTACAGACGTAATCATCATCCTCAATCAGTTGAGCTCTGACTTTTTTCACAATTTTCCAAAGCCGATAGATCTCTTGGTCGCCAAAACCCTCCTCTTCCTTACCAGCCTTGCCACAGACCTGACAAAGCTTCTCAGATCAGGAAAAAAATTCTCAGTCTTAACTGCCCTTTGTCCTTTAGTTTCCATCAGAAGTTTCTTTATTTTCTCAAGGGGGTAAAAATTTAACCCAACCTGTAACTGCCTCCATTCACCCTCATCATCATTGTCTGATACGTCCTCCAGCACTTTCTTAGTCTTTGCACCACTCTTCTCTTTATCCAGAAATTTTCTTTTACTTGATTTATTTGGGACACATACCTCCTCATCCATGTTTTCATCCACTTGTACCTTATTAACCACACTATCAACACTCTGACTCTTTCGCATTTCTTCCTGTCTGTCTGTTTACTTTTCACAGACTTTTCACTGCTCTGGACATTTCTTTCTGTGTCAGATTTTTCTTTACCACCCTCAGCTTGACCCAGTTCCACATTCTGCTCGTCTGCTCTTGTCTCCTGTGCTTTGTCCGCGGACCCCGGTGCACCAAGTGATTCTGACTGCTGGCTGCAGGGGGTGGGGCTTCAGGTGAACCCAAACTGCATGAGGGTAGTGCTGTGCGATACCACTTAATTCCTATCTGATCCAATACCAAATAATACCCAGCCTGGTATTGCCGATACCAATACCAATAATTACACCTATCAACTGGGTATAATTAGACCATCCTGGTGACAGTAAGATACTAATAATAAAACACACACTCACTCCAAATGACTGAGTTCAGATATCGATCCTTTTATATGAGTATTGATCCTAGAGCAGGAAACGTTGGTATCAGAAATATCGATACTTTAGGATCGATCCGCACATCCCTACCTGAGGGTCAGGTTTAAATCATTCGTACTGTCTTTTGGAATCATAAACACGTGACATCTATGACAGACAACATGTTTTAATTTCGGCGATTTATACCCTAGCAAAACCATTTTAATAGGAGACACTAGCTGCCCGTCACTAGCGCGACAGTTCTTTGGCCAACTCTTAATTTTTTATAAAGATAGAAATCACGATATTTTTGGCTGGATTATAGCGGGAGAACAGCGGTGAAAAATCACAACACCATTTTCACCAATCACAACGTCTATACAGTCTATGCTCTAGCCTGATTGACAGGTTGCCATGGTAATGACTTGTTAATCATAGATAAACTCTGCTTTGTGGTCTATTTTAAAATAAATGGGTCCATAATTTACTAAATGAACCTCAGTTTGTGACTTGAAACTAGCAACTGAGACAATACACTCATCAGGAAAGTGTTTACTGGGGTAATTATTCAGCAGAGAAGTAGGGTCATTTTCCCATTATTTCTAATGGAGTCTGACTTATTTTTGCAACCAGAAGAGTCGTCCCCTGCTGGATTTTCAATACAGGTTTCAGGGACTTCCTCGGCTTCATATTGTAGACCGGAAGATTCCCGCTTGGGCTAGAGGTGACTCGTTCCCAAGGCACTGTATAAATTTAACCAGCGCTGTTGAAAAAGCTTAATAGGAATTGGCTGTTCACTTTCTCTGGGGAGTACATTTAGTTTTAAGACTGTTGTTTGCTAAACAAAGTTATCAGCCCTGTTAAAATGACAGTTAACGTGGATTACAGATGCACCTAGCTTAGCAAGCTAGCTAGCTCCGCACGCGGCCGCTAGCTCAACCGTCTCATCCAAATATGGTCACGTCCGGTGCCACTGGTTGCAAAAACTCAACAACGGCCAAACTTGAGGCTTCAAAACCGCAGTTCACAAACCAACAGGTGACACCACGACGACTACGTCCACTTCTTATATACAGTCTATATGGCCGACACGCTCTGTCGGCTCTTGTGCTAAATAATACGTGTGGTCCTCTGTTTGTCCAAATTTCACTTCTCTTCTTACTAGGCTACTACTTTCTAATACTACTACTACTACTTCTTGTTCTTCTCCTTATTCGTACGTATTCAACGTAGAACGCGTTCTGTACAGCTGAGAAACGAGAAAATTATCCCGATATCACAGGAAAATCGATGGCCGCTTAGGGCTTCCGTAGAAATGGATATTATATTGTATTTGTGTCAATAGATCCTCCTAAATATAACCCACTGGCCTAAATTACATTAGTGTACATCCATTTAGGTTCTTAAAGACACCTGAATGACAGAAAGGATATCATTTATTTTTGGTTTGTTATTGTTTTGTCCCCAGCCCACACTCCAGTACAATAGGTGGCGGTAATGCAGCGTTTCAGTTGGATGCCAACCAGCGTTAGACAAGAAAGAAGAAGAGGACGAAAACATGGAGGACAGGCTGATTGTCTCTGTGCGTGGGCACTCGGTATTATACGACTCATCTTCGTACCTGTACAGAGACCGGGCAGAGAGGGAGATGGCTTGGTGCAAAGTCAGCGAGGAGGTGGGACTATCCGGTAAGTTGTGAAAAGAAGCGCGTCCAGCAACCGGCTGTGCTTTAAGTTAGTTGTAAGTTAGTTAGTATTTAAAACCTTTTTTTTTTTTTTTTAATTAACAGCATTCAGCAGGTCGTGTTTGTGTTTCTTGTCAGAGGAGATATGCAGGAGGAAGTGGAGGGGCCTCCGGGACACGTATCTGAAGGAGAAGAGGAAGGAGATCGAGAAGAGAAACGTGTGCGGGAAACGGTGGAAGCACTCCGAGGTCCTGTCTTTCCTCGACCCCTTCTTTAACGTCACCCCGAGAGAAACCAGGTGTAACGACAAGGTGCGGGAGGTCGAGGAAGACGACGGGACCTCAGAGTCCAACTTTACAGACTGTCAGAAGAAAATGGCGACGGGTAACGGTCCGTTTGTGTCCTCGGCGGACCGTGTGGACCAACTGGCCAAAGCGGAGATCCTGAGAGGATTCATCGCAGAGAAACTGACAACAGCCGCGCAGGAAATCTTCGCGGTTGTGGAGAGAACCGTAGCCGGGTACGAGGAGGAGGCTTCGGGTCTGAGGCAGGAGATCGACCGGCAGAGGAGGCAGCTGGAGGCGGTGCTGCAGCCTCGGGTCTCTCTCTGTAGGACAGGTGGGAACAGACGCTGTGCACCAAACTCCATATAAAAATCTGATGATTTAATATCACATAAATCTGAACTAGTGTCCACATGGAGGAAAAGTACTCTGCAGTGATGCTGTCTTGGGCAAGTGGCAGAAAGTAACAAAGTACAGTTACCCAAAGATACTCGTACATTACTTGAATATTTCAATTTTCTGATACTCAATACTTCTTTCCTCCTACATTTCAATGGCAAATATTTTGCTTTTTAATCCACTACATGATCACTGTAGATACTCTAAAGATTCAGGTTAATGTTACAAAATATAAACTAATACATGATGTCATATCATAGATTAAACTAACATTATTATCAAGTCATTAAAATGAGCTGCACCTTTACCAGCTGCAACATTTAAGTGAACACACTAGCACTTTCACCTGGATTGTAATTATTGATTCAAATCAATCAAACATTTATTTCTATAGCGCTTTACAACAACCGTCAGGTATCCAAAGTGCTTCACATCATAGAATATAGTAAAACAGCATATCATACAATAGATCTGTATAACAAAAAGAAACAAGAAAAAGGAAATTGTCACACCACTACTGCGTATTAAAAGCCATTCTAAACAGGTGGGTTTTAAGTTTAGACCTAAAAATACTTTCATCTGCAATTGTGATCACCCCGCTGCTTATACTTCCACCTTGGGACTTTTGAAACCAATTGGTTTGAAGACCGAAACGACCGGCTGTGCTCACGCAGGGTTAAAATCTCAGTTAAGTACTCCGGGGCCAGGCCATTTTGGGGATTTTAAAACGAACAGCAAAATCTTAAAATTTATTCTATACTGCACTGGGAGTGTAGAGGACGGGAGTGATGCGAGCACGCCTAGATGTATTTGTTAAAAACCGAGCAGCGAGCAGTGAGATGAAGCATTGATTTAAACCAACATAAAGAGCATTACAATAATCCAACCTCGAACTAATAAAGGCATGAATCACTTTTTCTAGGTCATGCCTGTTAAGAAAAGGCTTAACTTTAGATAGAAGATGAGGCTTATCAGATTATGAATTATAATACACTAAAATAATGGATATTGTTTAAAATAGGCCATTCTGCATAATGAGTACTTTTACTTTTGCTGCTTTAAGTATATTTTGATTCTAATACTCTTGTGTTTTTACTTTAGTAATTTATTATTACTAACGTAGAAGTCCTGCCGTGAAAATCTTAAACTTAAGTAAGTCTCATCAGCTTCAAGTAGGTAAAGTAGTAAAAGTGTTGGTTCTCCAGTTATATGTCCCCTGTGACTGATTGATTGAATTACAATCCTTTACATTAATTGGTGACATTGTTAGATACTGATTAGGGATGGGCGACTATCCTGATTGTCAGGTCGTCATGGTAGCGACATGTTAATCACAATGAAGGCCCGCCCAAAAGCATACACTGCATTATCGTATGTTTCCGCTAAATAGGACCATAATTTATTCAATGAACATCATGCTGTGTTGAAGAACACTTGAAACTAGCGACTGAGACCATAAACTCGTTATGAAAGTGTTTACGGAGGTTAAATAATTCAGCTGAGAAGTAGCAACATTTTACCATTATTTCTAAAGGACTCGCCCCCTGCTGGCCGAATGCAGGTTTAAGTTCTGTCTGCATGGTTTCACTTTCAGACCCAGAGGTTGCCGCTTGATTGAGATTAGAGAAATAACATTTGACAACCACAACTCTGGATTGGACAACGTTGCGCGCCAAGAGCTGCAAAAGAACTGCGGGATGTTGAGTTTCTAATTAATTTATTTTAAATACTAATGTTTTTGTTGCTAGTTCAACTGTCCCGATGTTACGTTTTACTGGCCATCGGCCCACTGCCCAACACGCGCACACACACAGGGAGAGACAAAGAGAGTGTTTAATGTAAATTTTATCTGAAAAGTAACGAAAGTCTGTCAAATTAATGTGGCGGAGTTAAAAATGATGACACCTCACAGTCTGCACGGGCTGTGGTTTGGACACCGCTTATTTCTTTACCTTGCCTACTGATGTAAAGTCTTCTTTGTGGTGAGTAACATATATACTGATGGATAAATGAACAATTCAGTCCTTTATCTCTGATCCAGATGAACCTGTATGTGGAGAGGAAGGGGCAGGAGTATGTGGACTCGTATGTCCGTCACACGTACTTAAGTACAAATTTGATGCCGTCCTTCTTTGTTTACTTGTCTACTGTTTTTCTTGCCACTTTCTGCTTCTACTCCGCTTCTTCTTTTTAACACACACAACATATGAAGAGTGTACAAAATGTGATGTTTTGTTATAAGTTAACCACCAGTTTATAAAAGTACAGCTGAAACAATTTGCTGATTCAATTAGTCGACGACCAAACAGTTAATTGAATGCTTTTTGATCGTTTTGTTAACCTTTCATATAGAAACATTTCACGGTTCCAGATTCACAAATTTGCTTAAGTTTCGGACGGTTTGGACACAACCAGCATTGTGAAGGTGTCACTTTGATTTAATCATTTAATGGAGAAAATAATCAACATATTTATCCATTATGAAACACTTTTTTTGCAGTCCCAGACAAAATAGGTAGCTATATAGCTCCTCAACAACTAAAGCAGTAAAATCCTGCCTTTTCATTAACATATGAGTAATAATCATCTGCTGATAGAATATATAGAAGTAGAAAAGTGGGGACATTTTGCTGCTTTGACTACGTTATGTTGAATACTTTAACATTTTATAATTATATTTCCATACTTTGTACATGGCAAAAAATAATTTTTTATAATCGTTCTGTCTTTGGTTTGTTCAGGTGCGGAGGACTCGGGGAGCCAGTGCATTTTAGAAAAAATTGTGAAAAAGAAGGTCGAGGAGGAGGAGGAGGAGGAGTCAGCTGAGGAGCCCGAACAGAGCACCAGTCTAGATGAGGAGGATCTGTCGGACCCGGATTATCAGCTAACAAATACAAGGTTCAAATATAATATGATGTTACCACATAATACGTTTCCTTGGGAGTGAGACGGACAGATTTTAGCATGTGGTGGACAAACGCTGACACACACAGAACTACATTAAATGGATTGTTGATTTTTTTTCTTTTTTTTTCCTTGACTGAATTATTTCTTTTCAGATGCCAGTTTGTGCAGAGGGAGCGTGGTCATCTAAACCTCAGAGTCTGTCTGTTGAAGGACTGCCGGACCAATGTGCTCTCAAAATACGGTAAGAGTCCAACAGAAAAGTGAAATGTCCTTATTAGGTACAGCTAGTAGGGGTGGGAGAAATAATCGGTTCTTAGATGCATCGCGATGTGGACGTGAAAGATTATGAATTGATTAACTAATGTCTGGCCGAGCAAGTGAGAGAGAGAGCGGCAGAACGTGACGGTGAAAGTTAGCGGAGAAATATATTAGCAGTAAGTTTCTGTCTGGTAGTGCCGCATAGGTCACTGTTTGTCCGTTAATAAAAGTCTGTAGTTTCCCCAACGGCTGGAAAAGTGAAGGCTGTTGGCGCGAGCTAACATCTCCCCTGTACAAGGGCCTGCCCTCTGCCCCCCCTTGACTTTTTGTTGTTCTGTAACTATGTGTAAAGTGTCCTTGGGTCCAGTGAAATGGGCTAAAATATTTATTTATTTATGTAACGTTAGCCTAATTAGTAACTAAGTAGCCTAATTAATTATCAGCTGTGTGTCAGTACTAACTAACCTACTAGTCAAGGGTTGAGAACATCTGGTAGAAGCTTAGACTAAACTGGTGTACAGCTCTGTCCTGTGTACACATACTGAACATCCTGATAATTATATATCAGTTTTCAGTCTGACAGCTGGTTGGGACCATAAAGCTGAGGTTAATAAAGTAAATTATGGATGCAAACTAGTCCTTTTAGTCGAATTAGCAGATGTTTCTTTTGGATTTTAATGCTGAAATTAAATGAGATTCCCACCCCTAACGGCTAGCTAGATTAAAGTCCTGCAATAAATCCTCCTTCATGACGGTTATAATGTTTAGATTGTGTTGATCATTTTGGAGGATGTAGTTTGTGCTGCTGTCGAGCTGTATTGTGTTATGCGAAGAGGTGTTTGTTAACACTGCCAACAACGGTGGGAACGCACACAACAGTGGGCTGAAGGAACCTTTTAGTTCCTTGAAGAGAGATCTGGGGACTTAAAAGTCCTGGTGAAAAAGCAGCTTTACATATTCACTGCATTTGTAAAGGATTTTTTGCTGATTATCAGGAAGATTGGTTACTTACTTTTGGATTGCATGTTAGTGTTAAGGTCCCCGATGCAACGCCTGAGGTGTCCTCGAGGCCTGCAGGAGTCCGAATTCCTGGATATTCTGAGGTCCACCTTCCCTCAACTGACCGGACAGTTTGATGCCTTCACAGCTGACTCGACCAGGATACTGGCCCCACTGAAACTAAAGACAATGACACCAGAGGTGATCAAATGGTCGATCAAATCCAGAGGGAAAGGAAGATCAGCCCTTTATCTGCGACCAAAGGTAGATCATCCCCTTGTTTTAACACCTGCACCATAATATGACACAAGTCTGGTGAAATAGTCCGACATGTGGTCCTGTGTGTGTGAATCACAGCCTGATATATCTTATTCCTCTGACCCATGGAGCTCCTTTTTGTTGTCCAAAAACTATTTAAAAAATTCACTGGTTGTCTTGTACCTTAATTACCATGAAAACACTCTGTTTTAGTGTGAAAGAGTCAATTGCGTCTGCAGAAGGAGACCGTGAGATGCGGCTGAAAGATCTGATATGCTAAGTTAGGGCTGGATGATTAATTGAAAAGTAATTAAAACTGAAATTCAGAGCGACTAACCAATGAAACTTTTCCGTTTTGGTTATTTAATCCTATTAAAGGAGACCTATCATTATGCTCTTCCAGTCCTATATTGTAGTTCTGTGACTCCTGTATAGCAGCTTTGCATGATTCAAAGTTAAACAATTTTTTTTTCCATCTTACACTGGCTCCTTCATGTCGGCCTTTATTTCAGCCTCTGTCTGAATGATGCTCCTGTCTCTTTAAGCCCCCCCCCCCCCCCCCCCCACCTGAAGCATGAACGGTGAGCGGTACAGATTGAGCGTTGATGTGCGGGGAAAATGACCGGGGTCGCCAGAATGCTACTATAGACACAAAAATAGAAACAAAAATCTTTGGTTGGTCATATTAGCAGAAACTTGATCACAACTCACAGGTCTGTGTCTTTTGTTGTTAAAAACATCGGCTTTAATAAATTTTGACAAATTAGTGAACAATATTTGAGAGAAATAGGCCTTTTATTTACACAGAGAAAGAGACCTTAGATCTTTTGAGTTCAGCTCAAAAGTGTTGCGTTTATAATGTTGTTCAGTCTAAATACAAACACACAATATAATCGCAATCGAGGTAAAGTGCCAGTGATTTTTAGGTCAAATCGTCCAGCCCTATGCGAAGTTCAAGACTGATTTTTAATGTGCATATTTCATGGTTTAAAAGTCTGATTTCTTGCAGAGAGCAAAAAAATCCCTGACGAGCCAAGAGCAACGTCCTTCTCCACAGACAAGAGACACCAATGACACAAGATACGATGAAAACAGGCCACATGCTAAGTGAGTCAAAAAAGACAAATGAGGACTGCGTGTTTTAAGAGCTGGGTGTCAATTATACTACCGTAGATACTAAATTGTTAAAAACAGTCAAGGATCAACTCATCAAACCATTCAAAATGCTGAAAATGTTTAACTCTGCGTTGAGTTCATCTTCTAACTATTTTCCTCATTGAGTACATTTTGATTGTGCCAGAGATTCAAGTGCAGTGAAATAATGGGACGTCTTATTTTCTACCTTCAGTTCCCAAACCAGTGCTGTAGAAAAAGTGGAGATCAATGAGGAGGATTGTCTGTCCAGCAACTCAGGATGGCAACTACAAGTGAAAATAGAGGAAGGTAATGATTGAGAACGACGTGGAATATCTGATGAATGTAAGTGCCCCATCTTCTGCTCGCTCTGCAGCTGAGAGCGAAGGGTACAATCTTGGCTTTGCGGCCAAATCAGCGGCTGTTACACGGTGGATCAATGTATTTTAGCATCACAACTAGGGCCGGGCGTTAATATCTGTATAATGAGGTACACAATAGAGATAGAGATATAAAATTACACAATACCGTTTATACCGATGTAGTTTGATGAGTTAATTAATGTGTTTCCGTAAAGTCCTGCGCCTCTCTCTGCCTCGCAGCCCCGCCCCTCCCTCTGCGTCTGCACGCAGCCATTTACTCACAAACTCTCAACAACATGGAGGGGGAGGAAAAAAAACAACGGTTCTGTCAGTGTTTCCCACACATTCACTTTACTTCGGCGGCCCGTCCAGGTCAGGAGTAAGAAAATAATCATTTGTTGCAGTCCGAGTCAAAATAGTTGAAAATGAGCTCCACCTACGACAGTCACATGGGGACGTTTTACTGCTTTGAGTACTGTTACTGTTAATACTTTAAGTACATGTTCCTGATTATTCTAAAAATACTTTATATATTGCAAAAATAACATTTTCTGATCTTTATTTTTCCAGATGTGGAAGACTTAGGGTGTCAGTACATCTTACACCACATTAAGGAAGAGGAGGGTGAAGATGAGGAGTCTGCAAAGGAGCCAGTGCAGACCACCAGTCCAGAAGAAGAGCATCCGGGGGACCCGGATGATCAAATACCAAATTCAAGGTTCAACAAATATGATATGATGTTACCACATAGTTTGTTTCTGTGGGAGTGAGACAGGAATTTGGGTATGTAGGGGGAATAACGCTGACACACAGAACTACATTTCCTTGCAGAGGTCAGTCTGTTCAGAGGAACTGCGGGATGTGGGCTCCTCTAAACCTCCGAGTCTGTCTGTTAGAGGACTCCCACACCACTGTGCTCTCAAAAGGCGGTAAGTGTCCAACAAAAAGTAAAATGTCCTGTCAGGATGTTGGGAGTGTGCATTGGAGGAAACACACAGTCTTGGAAAAAAAAATCTTCCTGAATACAGCTCATAATGTTCCTGTTAAATTTTTGACAAAAGCATCATACAAGAAATGCTGTATTATATTCTTTGCGTTCATTCAGGGCTTTTTTTGCTGATTCTCTGAAAGTTTGGTTACTTTTGGGTGGAAATTTCACTGTTGTGCAGTTTTGTCAGGATGACCATTTATTCTTTGAATACTGCGATGAATTTATTTGTTTGTGTTAGTGTTAAAGTCCCCATTGCTGGACCTGAGGTGTCCTCGAGGCCTGCAGGAGGACGACTTCCTGGACCTGCTGAGGTCCACCTTCCCTCAGCTAACAGGACGGTTTGATGCCTTTACAACCGACGCAACCAGAAAACTCTCCCCTCTGAAGCTAAAGACACTGACACCAGAGGAGATCCAAAGATCCATCAAATCCAGAGGGAAAGGAAGATCAGCAGCCCTTTATATTCGAGCACAGGTAGATCATGTACTTACTTCCCCGATGAGCTGTACCATAATATGAGACAATTTTCTCTCACATTTGCAGATCAAACCAGCAGCAGCTAACTGCTTAAATCCACTGACCGGAGCTAATCGCGGCCATTATAGTCAGTGGTTTTTGAGTCCACCAGACGCGGCCGCAGCGCGTCCCTGAAGCGTCCCTGAAGCGAATAGGTAGCAGGTCTATTTTTGCCGCTAGCCGTGTCAAGCAGCACAGAGCAGATTGAACCAGGCAGGAAGTCAGACACTGAGAATCTGGTGAATTTTCAAAATAAAACACCCAGTGGAGACTCCCGATCGAACAACAATAAACTCGATTAAAACAAACACAAAAAGAAATCATTTAACTATGTAGCCTACTTAACCATAGCAGAAACACAAAATGCAAACACTGGTTACCAAATCAGCAAAATTCAAGAGCTGTGAAGAAGGCAGTAGAAGCAAAAAAAAAGACAAATTAATAACACGTCAATAACGTGGGGCAGGCTGCATGCTCCGCTTCTGAAACGCTTCCAGTGGACTTTGAGGCCGGGCTATGGACGCATCAAAACCGTGGCGCAGCCGTAACGCGCCGTAGCCAGTGGATTCCCGGCGTAAAAGATCTGATTTGCTAAGTTAAAGTTTGAACTTTCATGTGCATATTTCATGGTTCAAAAGTCTGTTGGTTTCTTCCAGAGAGCAAACAAATCCCTGACAAGCCAAGAGCAACGTCCTCCGCAGGGGAAAGACACGGATGACACAAGAAATTATGAAAACAGGCCACATGCAAAGTGAGTTAAAAACAACACAAATGAGGACTGTATCTTTAAGAACTGGGTGTCTATAATACAAGCTAACTTACTAAATTGTTAGACATTAGAGGATCATTCTGCAGATATTATCTTCTCTTCTTGCATAAAGTGCTGGAATGCATAACTCGGTGTTTGAGATTATCTTTAAATGCATATCCTCATTAAGTACATGTTGATTGAAGATGAAAGTACATTGAAATAATGCGACTCTTTATTTTCTTCCTTCACTTCCCAAACCAGTGCTGTAGAAAAAGACAAAGAAGATCCTCTGTCCGCCATCTCGAGATGGCAACTACAAGTGAAAATAGAGGAAGACGAAGACCAAATTATATCTAAACTAATATTAGATCCAGCTGAGAGCGAAGTGCACAATGAAGATGGCGATGATGTTGATCGGGTGGAGGAAGATGAAGGAGATGACGACCGGAAACAAGACAAGAATGATGTGGAGCTGAGGGAGCGCGAAGATGAACAGAGCTCATCAAAGATGATGAGGAAGCGACGAGTCGAACATTCAGGAATCAAAACAAAGAAAAGGAAACGGGTGCAGTCGTCTCTGAATAAGAGTGACGCTCCTCTGTCCTGTAAAGTCTGCCGAGCTCTTCGTGGGTCAATGAACATGTTGATTAAACACGCCTGGAGTCATGTGGACGATCCAGAAAGGCTCTGCGGAGTTTGTGGAGAACATCCAGAGTCTGTAGAGGAGCTGAGGAGTCACCTTCAAAGTCACCAGAAAACACACCGCTGTGGAAAATCTTTCCTCACTGCGGTTGGTCTGAATGGTCATGCTGCTGTACACACAGGAGAGAGACCATACAAATGTGATGTCTGCCATAAAGCATTTAAGTTTAAGGCTAGTTTGAAGACTCACCGGTGGAAGCATGTGGAGGATAAACCACACAAATGTGATTACTGTGATCAGGCTTTTGCTTTCAAACAGCAGCTGAGGGTTCACAGCAGGACCCACACAGGTGAGAAGCCTTACAGCTGCGATGTGTGCGGAAAATCAGTCCGTGACTTTCGAGCTTTAGCTTATCACAAGTTGAGGCACACTGGGAAAAAACATTACGGCTGTCAGTTTGTTGGAAGCGTTTTTTAACTCCTCAACGTGAAAAATTCACACAAAAACGTACTTCTGATGTTTGCTGTAAGACATCTCCCAATCAAAGTTGGTTAAAGTTTCAGCTGGAAACACACAGCGAGGAGGTGGGATGGGATTGTCTTGTCAAGCATCTCTGAAGAGACGCATATTTGTCCACACTGCGGAGAGACCGTATAAATGCTCAGGTTGTGGATGAACCTTTAGCACTTGGAGTATTCTCAGAGGCCACCGTTCAGTCTTCAAACCGTTTGTCTGTGGGGTTTGTGGGAAAGCGTGCGCTCACCAAGAACACCTGATGGTCCACATGAGGACCCACAGCGGAGAGACACCTTACCAGTGCACCGTCTATGGCAAAGCCTTCACTGAGCGAAAACAGCCAGCAGTGGATGAACTGAAGACAGGAAGAGTCTGTAACTTTTCTAATGAATGGAGAGAAAAAACCCTCAGTGTTCATGTGTAATAATTTACACAAATGTGTCCAGTGGTTTTTATTTTAGGTTTCAGTAACCAGCATTTCAAGCTCACTTCATCATGTGTTGTACTGAGAAGAACATAAACATGATACTGCTGAAAGTTCTCAATGGTGGAAGAAGAAGTATTAAAATAGTTGTTATGTTTAATAATGTTTAATAATGTTACCAAGCTGCAAATGCAATGCTACTAACAACATTGCCCAGATGAGCTGAATTAACATTAACCAGACTTTAAATATTAATAATAAATATTTGATTTAATTCATTAGAATCACAAAAGAATTAGCGCTTAATTTTCTATAAAGATGTTATTTTGTTGAGGAAAAGGACAGAAAAAAAGTCACTAATCACATTTTTTGAAAAAAACCATGATCATAATTGTTTTAAATGTTCTACCTCAGATATGTTAATGATCTACTGTTTGGCATCAAGTGTTTTTCACGTTCTGACCGTAAAGAATTGTTTATCCACACAATTAACCGTGTGACCCTTCAATTTTCACTCTGGAGCAAACATCACTGATTTGACATTTATCTTGATAATTATCGATATCAAAGATATGAAATGTTTTTATCGTGATTACAGTCCACCCTTATGTTACCCTTCATTTCAACCAAGCGGAGTATTTCCAGAAAACGTGTCTGACATGAAAAATCTCCTGTCGTGTCTGAAGTTCATATAGTAGTACAAGTAACAAGTAGGGGGTTCACCCATCCACCTGCCTAATTCTGTCTGAAGGCTCTGACTCACTGTTTCAGACAGAGGATGTGTACAGGGCCAGTATAAGATAAGGAATTGTTTTAAACTGTGAATCATGCAAAACTATGTAGCTGCAACATAATAGTCCCCTTTAAATGAAGTGAGTATCATAGTGTAGAAAAGTCCTACAGTACAGATTTGGCATCAGTGTAACTTGAAGTGCTGAAGTAAAAGTACGTGTAATACTGCTGGGCAGCTTGTGAACGCGTTAGCAGCGTGGCTGTAGGCAGCGTCCGTCAGTCCACCACTTTGGTTCAGACTGAAATATCTCAGCTATTGTGGGAGAAAACCTTCAGCTGTTCAGGTCCTCTGGAGGCAGTGTGATGCTTGGGTGATGTACTGCTAGGAAACCTTGGGTGATGCTATTCATGTGGATGTTACTTGACACGTACCACCTACCTAAGCATTGTTGCAC